CCCCAAAACCCCAAAACCCCAAAACCCCAAAACCCCTTAAATGTAAGTGAATATAGAATTCTTTGGAAGAATATTCATACATAAGTTTATCCAAGCATTGACAATAATCTCTCAACTGCAATTGTGACATTTCCATTTCATTGCTTTAACATTTCAATGTTAGTTGCTTCATCAGTGAATCCCATATCTTTCATTTGCTGGAGTTGTGTAGCATATTTTTCTTTAGGATCTTGCTCTGGTTCAGTAGAACTAAATTATATACTATATTTAACTTACGCTGCTGGGGTTGTAGATGCACTTGCTCCTCCTGGAGCTCCGAAAGCACCAAATCCAGGGAATGCCCCCATTCCAGCACCACCAGCACCACCAGCACCACCTGCACCACCTGCACCAGCTGCACCAGCTCCTCCCATAGAAGAACTTAAGTTCATTAAGTTTTGCATTGTTTGAGGATCCATGTTTTGCATCATGCTATTTAATCCTTCCATTCCACCTAGGGATCCAAGCATTGAGTTGAAATCAAAAGCACCTGCTCCAGCAGCACCAGTTCCTGTCGCTGATCCAGTAGCTCCAGCACCTCCAAGGCCACCGAAAGCTCCTAAACCTGGCAATGCTCCTGTTCCTACAATTTGTTTAGCAAAATTTGGAGATAAACTTACCTGTAGCTCCGGCCCCTGTTGCACCTGTTCCTGTTGCTGAAGTTGTTGAACCTGCTGCAGTTCCAGTAGTAGATGCTGCAGGTGCTGATGCTTCAGTAGTTCCTGTAGCTTCAGTAGTAGTTTCGGGAGTGCCAGTAGCAGCAGGAGTAGTTGCTGAGCTCTCTGCAGTTCCTGCTGAAGCAGCTCCACTAGAACCAGAAGAAGCAGTCCCTGGCATTGCCATACTACCGGGAGCTCCAGACATAGTACCAAACATGCTATTTGAATTTGCATTGTTCATTAAATTCATTGAAGCTTGAATGGCTTCAGGTGTCATCATGCTTCTCATCAAATCAGGGTTCGAAAGTAAGTCTCTTACTTGAGGATTCTGCTCAGACATTTGCCTTAAAGTAGGATTATTGTCAATCATATTGCTCATAAATTCTGGATTAGACATCATTTGGTCCATCATATTTTGGAACATAGGATTGTTCATCATTGATTGAATAGTGCTTGGATCAAGGTTCATTCCTCCCATTCCAGAAAGACCACCTCCTGCTGACATACCAGGAATACTTCCTCCAAGGCCACCAAGTCCGCCAAGACCTCCTAGTCCTGCAAATGGGTTAGAAGCTCCTGCTGTACCAGCAGCAGACGCTCCAGTTGCTCCTCCAGTTGGAGGAGTAGCAGTAGACCCAGCTGTCGTAGCTCCAGCTGCTGGAGTTCCAGCAGCAGCTGCTGCTGGTGCTGGCTTCTTCTTAGCCCCTGGCTTCCTAACCAAATGAATAGTATCTCCTTCCTTCAGCTCTAATCCTTCTACGGTCTTATCAACTTTGAGGATTCTTCCCTTAAATACAAGAGTAATCCTGCTAGCTTCCAAGTCGTCTCTAGCGTCAGCACACTTCTGTACTATAGTCTCGACTGTATCTGTTAGCTGAATTTCTACTTCAAAGCTTTCTCCCACGCCTGAGAGTTTGATATTAATTTTGAACGACATTTTTGTTCTACTAAATATATTATTTGCTTTCTAGGGTCTACCAAATTATGGGGTTTTGGGGTTTTGGGGTTTTGGGGTTTTGGGGTTTTGGGGTTTTGGGG